TTCATTTCTCCTTGGCCCAGTTTACGTGGAAGCTTTTCTAATGTGTTTGAGTTTTTATAGAAAACCCACGTGTCCGTACAGGAGTGATGCCTTCTGTTTTTAGAGCTTTCCAGTGAATGGCTAGAGAATCTAACCAGGCAATTAGCAATTTTCTCATTTGACTAATTAAAAAGGATTTTAATAATTGTGTTGATAGGCTTTTAGCGGATTATTTTTATCCCAATTATTTTTCATCTTTATGCATCTAAAAAAGGTCATGTGCACTTCTATAAACAGTAATTAGTTGTGCCTCCCCTAGACAGTGCCAAGGGATGGGGAATCAGCTTCTGATTCCTGAATATATAATGCAGGGGCTGCAGACTGGCTGATGGCAAGCTTATTTGGTTCATTAGTGTTTCAGAAACATTTGGATTAACTGCTAACATTTAAATGCCTGGAGACTTGACAGAAGTTCAGATTCCTGACTTCTCTTGGAAAAGATGATGGTCTAGCAACACTGGCTCTTTTTTTTTTTTTTCCGGAGAGGTTTTTGCTATAGAGCACATGTACTCACCAGAAAGAGACAGACAGAAAGCGAGAAATCACCCCCCACCCTGGGGGAATGGCCACACCACAATCCCTTTTCCTCCATTCTCCTCTAGGGATCTTGGGCACGCGCACACACACACCCGGCATGAGTTTTTTAAGCCACCAGGTCCGGGACGCAAACTGCAGTCGACTACGTGGGAGTCCAGCAACATAGCCATTACGCTTACTGCTGGTCTCCTGGGTCCGAGACTTGAACCGCGGTTGACTACATGGGAGTCCAGCAACGTAGCCATTAGGCTATCTGCTGATCCCATAGCAACAGTGGCTATTTCCCTGGCTGTAGTCACACATCCACTGGAAAAGAGCAGTGTAAGAAACCAAAGTAGCTCACACTGTGTTGATAACGTTCCCAAGCCCTCTGGGCACACCTGGCCTATGCCCAGGCCCATACTTCAGCACCGAAACACCGAGCTGGGCAGAGAGGGGGGCCACACACGGAGAGCTAGCTGTCTTGGTTACCCATTCCTATTTTGCCAGCCTTGTGACAAGGCCTGTGATTCGTATCTAAGGCAAGTAGTAGGCAGCGAATGGCAGCTCCTTTCACTTCCAGCACTGTTGGCTTAACTCAGGAACTGGAATGAAGCATAGAGAACAGCAAGTGCATGCACACCGTGAGTCATTCTTGCAAGAGCTGAAATGAGCTCCTGTCGTTTTTGCTGGTGGTCCTCCATGAACCTTAGGTAAAATGTTCTCCAGTGATTTTTTTTTTTCAAAAATGCACTCTTGGGGACAGCAGGTGGTGTAAATGGCTATGTCACTGGACTCCCACATGACTGACCACAGTTCAAGTCCTGGACCCAGTGGCTTGAAACTCATGCTGGGTGCATGTGCATGTGTGCCCAAGATCCCGAGAGGAGAATGGAGGAGAAGGGATTGAGGTGTGGCCATCCATCCCAAAGAGTGATTTCTCACTTTGTTTTGCTCTGGCAAGCACAGGCACCCTATAGTAAAAATCTTTCTCTCCCTCCCAAAAAAAAGGAACCTAGGATTCTGCTTCAGGGCCAGAAGGTGGCACAACAGTAATCCTGTACTCTGCCAGGCTGACCCACATGGGGCAGTTCTGAGTCCATGCCCAAGGACTGCTCTGAACACGCCGGGTGTGCACATGCTTGACTTGGGGCTGCTTGAAGAGCGCATTGAGACGTGAAGCATCAAGTTGGAGGTGATGTCTCTGTCTCTCTTGTGCATGAAATAAGTAATCATTAAAGCAAAAGCTTCTGCTTCACCATGAAAAGGTAAAGGCAGTATGTTAGCATTTCATATTTTTCCTGGGACTAAATTTTGGAATCTAGCGACTGACTAGATCCTTTGTATTCTTGTTAACTAGATCTGTTAACACCTTTCAGTGACTATACGCTTGATTTTCTTGCTTAGTTCTTTTTTCTAAAAAGGATTTAACTTTATTAATTAATTAATTTTAATTTGACCAGAGAGTAATAGAGTGAGAGAGAGAAAGTGAGAAGGCAAGCTGCCAGGTCCGAGATTTGAACTGTGGTCAGCCATGTGGGAGTCCAACGTCCTTAACCACCACGCCACCTGCTGGCCCCCACTTAATTCTTTCCTTTTTAAATATATATATTAAATTATTTTACATTCAATCACCGTGTATCAGTACAACATTCCAAATGGCAGTTGCTTACCTCTCTCTTTGTAGACAGTCTTACTGCTACAAACTGGGATTTAAGTTTGATAGTTCTGTTATCACTGTGAGTAAATGTTTCTCCAGTTCCTTAAATGTTTGGCAATCTGTATAATCCTCATATAAGGAAATGAAAAAACATCACTAGAGTGATTGTTGTCAGAAGCAGAAGCCCCCAGTCTTTTGATTTTTTTTTCAAAGATTTATTTCTATGTGTTATTGTTTTTTAAATTTGACCAGAGAGTGACAGAGAGAGAAAAGGAAAAGAGAAAAAGCAAACCACCAGGTCCGGAACTCAAACCCGGTTGGCCATGTGGGAATCCAGTGGCTCCACCACTGTCCCCCACTTCCGTATTTTGAGAATGCACTTGAACAGTACTGAAGGTAGTCTCTTGAGCTGATACCTGCACTTCCTTGGATATCATCTCCTAACTATTTGCTATCAGTCCTCTGCAAGTAACAAACTTATCACAGCAGTCTTTCTCAAAAGGGTGCCCACTGTTTGCAGCACAGGTTCTGAACTTTGCTTCCACTTTATTTTTAAATTGTTGGAGGGTGCATATACTCATGAGGGGTGGGTGGGGGAAGAGCACCCCCATATGGGGTATGATCACACCAAAATCCCTTATTTCTCTATCATGTTGGGATTTGGAGTATACATGCACACATATCTGGTGAGTTTTTCTTTTTTCTTTTTGTAGAGGTGTTTTTACTTTTGCACACATGTGCTTGGGAGAGAGACAGTGATTGGGCAAATGAGAAATCACCCCCCAGAGGAGATGGCCATGCCACAATCCCTTCTCCATATTCCTCCTTGGATCTTGGGCACACACACATGCATCCTGTGTGATTTTCAAGCCATTGGGTCTGGGACTCGAACCATGGTCAGCCATGTGGAAATTCAATGATGTAACTGCTATGCTATCTGCTGGCCCTCCAGCATGTTTTTTAAGCACCAGGGCTGGGATTCAAACCTCAGTTGGCCACATGAGATTCAGCTTTCTCAACCACTAGGCCATGGGGCTGGCCCTGAACTTTTCTTCAAAATGAAGAAATCTGCTAAAACACTGTGAGGCTGTGATGGCACAAGCACTTCCATATGTTAGTGTACATCTAAACCAGAATTTCTTTTGAAGGAAAACTGGTGACATCCATCAGAATGCTGATATCCTGTATAGCCTGGTAATCACGCTGCTCCCAATTTAAGAGCATGCGCACCAAACTAGGATATGGTATGCATGAAGAAGTCTGTGGCTAAAGGACTGGGTAAGTTAACGGTCTATCCAGAGGGTAGAATATTTTTTAAAATAATGATTTTATTTTATTTCATTCATTAACAGAGAAAGAGAAGAAAGGTGAGAAAGCAAGCTGACAGGTCCAGGACTCGAACTGTGGTTGGCCATGTGGGAGTCCAGCGCTTTAACTACTGCACCACCTGCCAACCTCCCAGAGGGTAGATTATTAATAAGCAGTCATTAAGGGAATTACATAAGCCCCTACACACTCATGTGACATGTCTACACATAAAGGGAAAAAAACACGTGAGCTGTACTACCGTTTTGAGGAGACATGTTCATCTAAGTGTGCTTTGAGGACTGGCCGCACAGTGTGGTGTTTCAGGGAGACAGATCACACATGGTTCAAAGCTTGGCCATGGCAGCTTTAGAAACATGGCAGGTGTGTGTTGTGTGTATGTGCACATGCCCCGAATCTTGACAGGATGGAGAAACCCAGAAGAGATTATGCTATGACCATGCCCCATCTGGGAGGGCTTTCTCCCTCTCCCTCTCTTTTCTGTCATTCTTTGGTGAGCATACATACCCCCTGGCAATTAAAAAAATTTTTTTTTAATGGAGGCCAACAGGTGGCATCATGGTTAATGTGGGGGACTACCACATGATTGACCACAGTTTGAGTCCCAGATGTGGCAGCTTAAACCTCACACCAGGCACATGTGCATGTGTGCCAAAATCCCAAGAGGAGAATGGAGGTGGTTTCTTGCTTTCTGTCTGAGAGTACACACACCCTACAGGCAAAAATCTTTCAAAAATTTTTTTCTAAATGTGCTTTAGGGAGCCAGCAGGTGGCATGGTAGTTAAAGCACTAGACTCCCATGTGGCTATCCAGTTTGAATCCCAGACCTGGTGGCTTGAAAAATCATGCCAGGTGATGTGTGTGTATGCATGTTCAAAATTGCAGGAGAATGAAAGAGAAGGGATTATGGCATGGCCATAACCCCCAGGTGGTGGTGATTTCTCACATTCCCTGTCTCTCTGGCAAAAAAAAATGTGCTTCAGACGGCTAAAGGATACACTAGAATTGAGTAAGAGTAGTTACTGCTACTGATGGACGAGGGAACTGGGGACAGAGTGAAAAGATGCTTCACTGTTTGTCTTTAGCTCTGTTTGAGTTTTGTTTTACCATGCACGTGTACTACCTTTTCACTGATTTTTATTTTTAAAATGTACCAGACTTGAGAAATGGTGATACTATTACTAAGGAGCCCTCTCACCACTGGTGCTTCTCTCCAGGAAGTCTGTCTAGCCCACACAAGCCTGCCCTACCCTGGGACAAGCATAAGGGAGCCTGTGGACCCAGTGGATTATTACTGGATACATTTCTTTCTCAAGGCCTTACGGCTTTTCCCTGCCCCAGAAAAGACAGAAAAATATGCTTCTGTGCTTCAAGTCCTATTTCCCACCAACCAGAAGGAACTGTCAAATGGACACAGGATCGACTGGAGATCTATAAATGGTAGAAAGACTGCAAAGTAACCGTGTCTGAATAGAGGAGCAGAATGGAAGTTACCCGGATGTGTTTGTAAAGATTTATAATCAGAAGGTAGTTTGTTATTTATTAAGCCTTTATTAAATACCTCCCTAAAGGTCCTGGATATCACTAGGACATATACGCAAGAATGGCACGTGTTCAAATACCCACTCATCAGCTCAAATCCAACATAATTTCCCCTGGAACTGGAACCTCATATTAACTTGCAGTGCTCAGTGACACAGTGTCCTCTAATTTAAAGATTTTAAAAGAAAAACGTAACCAGAAGACCCCATTTTCAAAATTGCTGTTAAAGGCCAACAAATTAGCTGGAAGGGAAGGATAACAAGGAATAACCTCTCTTTAAATATGCCCCGAATCTTGACAGGATGGAGAAACCCAGAAGAGATTATGCTATGACCATGCCCCATCTGGGAGGGCTTTCTCCCTCTCCCTCTCTTTTCTGTCATTCTTTGGTGAGCATACATACCCCCTGGCAATTAAAAAAATTTTTTTTTAATGGAGGCCAACAGGTGGCATCATGGTTAATGTGGGGGACTACCACATGATTGACCACAGTTTGAGTCCCAGATGTGGCAGCTTAAACCTCACACCAGGCACATGTGCATGTGTGCCAAAATCCCAAGAGGAGAATGGAGGTGGTTTCTTGCTTTCTGTCTGAGAGTACACACACCCTACAGGCAAAAATCTTTCAAAAATTTTTTTCTAAATGTGCTTTAGGGAGCCAGCAGGTGGCATGGTAGTTAAAGCACTAGACTCCCATGTGGCTATCCAGTTTGAATCCCAGACCTGGTGGCTTGAAAAATCATGCCAGGTGATGTGTGTGTATGCATGTTCAAAATTGCAGGAGAATGAAAGAGAAGGGATTATGGCATGGCCATAACCCCCAGGTGGTGGTGATTTCTCACATTCCCTGTCTCTCTGGCAAAAAAAAATGTGCTTCAGACGGCTAAAGGATACACTAGAATTGAGTAAGAGTAGTTACTGCTACTGATGGACGAGGGAACTGGGGACAGAGTGAAAAGATGCTTCACTGTTTGTCTTTAGCTCTGTTTGAGTTTTGTTTTACCATGCACGTGTACTACCTTTTCACTGATTTTTATTTTTAAAATGTACCAGACTTGAGAAATGGTGATACTATTACTAAGGAGCCCTCTCACCACTGGTGCTTCTCTCCAGGAAGTCTGTCTAGCCCACACAAGCCTGCCCTACCCTGGGACAAGCATAAGGGAGCCTGTGGACCCAGTGGATTATTACTGGATACATTTCTTTCTCAAGGCCTTACAGCTTTTCCCTGCCCCAGAAAAGACAGAAAAATATGCTTCTGTGCTTCAAGTCCTATTTCCCACCAACCAGAAGGAACTGTCAAATGGACACAGGATCGACTGGAGATCTATAAATGGTAGAAAGACTGCAAAGTAACCGTGTCTGAATAGAGGAGCAGAATGGAAGTTACCCGGATGTGTTTGTAAAGATTTATAATCAGAAGGTAGTTTGTTATTTATTAAGCCTTTATTAAATACCTCCCTAAAGGTCCTGGATATCACTAGGACATATACGCAAGAATGGCACGTGTTCAAATACCCACTCATCAGCTCAAATCCAACATAATTTCCCCTGGAACTGGAACCTCATATTAACTTGCAGTGCTCAGTGACACAGTGTCCTCTAATTTAAAGATTTTAAAAGAAAAACGTAACCAGAAGACCCCATTTTCAAAATTGCTGTTAAAGGCCAACAAATTAGCTGGAAGGGAAGGATAACAAGGAATAACCTCTCTTTAAATAATAAATCTATACAGTTCTCTGCCAAAAAAAGCAGATCCGTATAGTTTTGGCCTCTCACCACCTTGCTCAGAGTGGGAAAGGCACCCCCTCTTCTACCCAGGGGGAGAAAAAGCATTCACCCAACCAGCTTCTACTTGCTTTTATCATGTATTCTATCGGTATGTATGGAGGGTTTTTTTTTTTCTTTTTTTTGCTCGTTTTTACATTTTTACAGTTTACATTGCTTGACCCATAAATAACACTTGTAAGATTAATAGGGCCATAGGTTAAAGAGTATTTATGTAGCCCCACCATGCATACAGAGCCTTTTTTTAATATTGAAAAATCAAAAACATTGAACTTTCCATCACTAGGCAATATAAATTTGACAGTCTAAACTTAGAAACCCCGACTAAAATACAAGCAATCATTTCATCCATAAATGCTGTTTCTGGTTCCCTAACAAATCTAGCACTGCAGTGTAACAAACGTCTTGCAATTCAGGGATATAAAAATATCAGCTTTAAAATCTGAACTGTACAATATGTACATTAATATTTGCACCGTTAAATTAGGGATACACTTAAGTCTATGAAATACTACATTATAAATAGCAATGTGTTTTCTGTTCAATCTGTAGCTGGCGCTAATACAAGTTTACCTGGTTACTGAGGGTTAAAGGGGGCAAAGGGGCCTCGCACACCAGGATGCACAGTGCTAGCGAGGCCATCGCGACGACGTGCATGCCTCAGGACAGACAGACCGACAGGACCTGAGCCAACCTGACTTACATAAATGACTGACACTATTGCTTTACAAAGGCGGCTGGAGCTCTCCGTCTTCGAACATCAACACCCCCGTCCTATCACCTTGGACAGTTTCCGGAGTATTCTCTCGAGGACTGGAGACCAAAGCAGCTATATCAAACTGTAATGCACCCGACTGGCACCACACAAGGAGGGGAAGCTGGAGCGATCACCCCTTGCAAATGTTCATCTGACACTGTAAACAGCTGTCGGGTTCTCGTTTACACGGGCAAAGAGAGCACTTGAACTATTTTAGCCACTCTCCTACGGAAGAAAAAAAAAAAGATATGATTCAGATGGCTACGGGCTAAGTTTTAAACAAATGACCTATCTCCATAGCTACACGGTTAAAATTAAGAAATGATACAGTTTTTGCCCTTGTGTCCCTTTTTCTTCTTGGATTTAGTTGTCCTCTGACCAAACTGGGGGCCGGGGAGTACAGACGTGGGGCTGGAGAGGTCGTCAGTGTAATAGGCGTATCTCTGCGGCCGGGGCTGAGGGATGGGCTGTCCAAGAAAATAGCCTTCTTCTTCGGAGTCGGAGGAGGAGGTGGAGGAGGAGCCCCAGGAGTCATCGTCCTCGCCGTAGAGCCCCAGGAACCTGCTCACGGCGGGGTTCTGCAGGGCGTAGTCGGAGGTGGCGTGCGCGTACTGGCCGTACAGCTCGGCGTTGCGCACGTACGCCTGGATCTCCCGGGCGCTCTTGCTCTGGATGAACTTCTCGTAGTTATCGGGCGTGTAGAGCCGCAGTCTGTCCTTGGGAGAGTATTTTCTTTCTGTCACCAGATTCAGGGCGTTGTCAGAGCGGGACTTTCTACTTCTCCTGCGGCGATGGTGATGAGGCCTGGATCCCCTCTCTTCGAAATGGTAGACGCGCCTCCGAGTCCTTTCGCTCATGGGAGGCTGGCGGATCTCGATGTTGTCGTAGTTGCCGTTGTCGATGACGTCATCCGAAAACTTGACCTGTTGTGGTCTGGACTGGGACTTGGACCTTCTGAGCACTGGCAGATGGACTGGCTTCTCTTCCGGCATGATTTTTTCTGGACACAACTCTGAACTCAGACTCTTTAAGGACTCCGCACTCCTGTGCAGCATGGACGAGTTCAGCGTTCCCATGTTGCTCATTTTCTCGCAATCTTCTGTCTCCATCTCCTCAAAGTTTTGCAGAGAATATAGCGATGGCCTGGGTTTGCTTTCTCCATCCACTGAAGCCCCTGAAAGGGAAGCCGAAACAAGATGTGATTCTCAATCCTGATATTCTGACAGTTACTATAAACAAGCTACTGGAAGGAAACATTTTAAGGAATATTTCCAATTTCAATGTTTGATTACAAACTAATAGGGAGGGGCCAGCAGGTGGTGTGGTGGTTAAGGAGCTGGACTCCCACATGGTCAACGGCATTTCAAGTCCTGGACCTGCCTGGTGTCTTGCTTTCTCACTTTCACTCTCTCTCTCTGGTGAGTGCACAAGCCCTGAAAAAAAAACTGACAATGATCAAATTAAATCTTAAAAAAAGAAAGAAAGAAAAAAAAAAAAAACACTAGGGAAACTCGGTGGGCATATATACCAATAGAGGAGCAGTATGAATGTTGTCACTGATACAATGGACATAGCCTTTCATGAACCCAGCTGTTTTAGAGCCAAGGATTATTTACACAAATAGCATTTATAGCAAAAATGTAATCACTCTTTACAGAAGCTTCTTCATTCATTTATTAACAAAATATGTAGACACTTCTACCCTCAATCCACTAAAGCCAAACTGCTTCATCTGAACAGTTCTCAAATCAATCCCTTCCTCTGCATCCACATGGCCACCATCATGGGTAAGTCTTCCTCACCTTAGACTAGCAGTAGGTAAGCCACAGCCCAACAACCTGTTTGTGCATAAAGTTTTACTGGAACATAGACACCCCATTCATATACTACTGTCTATGGCTGCTTTCTACAATGTTAGAGTGAGCAGTTGCAACAGGACTCTATAGCTTAAGTTACTCTAGCCCTTTATGGAAGAGGTTTGCCCAACCTTCAACCTAGACCTTCATCCAGCTCAACCCCTGACTTAGAACTTCATCTAGTCTTCCTCTATCTTCAACGCCTAAACTGTGGTACTTCTGGATTAATCTTATTTTAAAACTTTTTTCAAAACTGATACTGATCACCTTTTTTACAGGGCCCAAGGCACGTTAAGGGAAATACTTACAGTCCAACAGAACTGTAAGAGACAATAAGAAGTGCTGCAGAGTGCTGTCAATTAGAGGCGACATAACTTCCTACTTTTTTTTTCTTTTTTTGGAGAGGTTTTTGCTATAGGGTGTATGTGCTTGCCATTCAGACAGAGACAGACAGAGAGACAGAAAGTGAGAAATCAGCCCTGGGGGGAGGGCGGGATGGCCATGCCTCAATCCCTTCTCCTCCATTCTCCTCTCGGGATCTTGGGCACACATGCACACGCGCCTGGCATGAGTTTAAGCCACCGGGCCTGGGACTCGAACCGCGGTTGACTACGTGGGAAACCAGCGACATAGCCATTACGCTAACTGCTGGTCCCCATAACTTCCTACTTTTTAAAAGGGGGCCTATTTTCAGCCCATTATTATTATTTTTAAAATTTGCTCTGAGGTACATGTCCTTGCTGGAGATGGAGAGAGAGGGGAAATACAAAAGAACCTTCCAGGGAGGCCAGGGGGTTGGCCATGCCATAATCTTTTTTTTTCCCATTCTCCTCTTGGGATTTTGAGCATTCAAGAACACATGTCCAGTATATTTTTCAATCTGCCAGGTCTGGGACTTGAACAACCTATCGGCCATGTGGAATCCAGCCACCCTAACTACCATGTTACTGACTGACACCCCCCCACACACAAACACATTGTTAAGGAATGTCAGCCCCTTACACTTAAGCTTATACCAAATTATATCTATTTTTAGTATTCAATGTTACAACACCTCATACAGAGCCTGGCAGATAGGAAGTGCCTAATAGTCTTACCCACCATTTTTCCTTCAAGTTCTCTTATAGGGATTTATCTTGGCTAGCCCACAGAAGCCAGTGGGTGCCTTGCTTACCCCTCCTTGTCACTGCAGGTCCAGTTAAAGGACTGGATGCTATCAGTTGGACTAAAGGCCAACTGGACAACAGCAACGTTTCTCTACCCAGGATTTATCCAAATACGACATTCATAATGTGCTGGTACGAGGCCTAGTCTTCCCTTTACAGTCTATGTAATGTACATTTAGACTCTTGTTAAATGCAATATCATCATCCACACTATAGAGTTCAGGATTATTTTAAGGATAAAATACAGATACTGATAAGTATGCTCTCAAAACTTTAAATAAATATTTTATCAGGCCAATTGGTGGCATGATAGACTAATACCTATCAAAAAACTATATTGAAAATACACTTCATACACACACACTCACTTGTACACACATTTATTTTGTTAGTGTTTGGCATTTGAATGAAACACCGTCCTTCTTTTGGTCCACAATATTAAATAACATAACCTTTATTGCTGTTGAATTGCAATTTTTTGAATAACTTTTTAGTGGTTCCTTTTTCAAATATCCCTTAATCCCTGGATTAACATACCTGTGATATTAGACAAAGCCAAAGAATCCATAGAATCCCGAACGCTTTGCTCTGGTTTCAAGTCTGACAAACACTCCAGGGAATCTTCATACCACTGAGTTTGATCATGATTGTATCCTGAAGCCCCGTGGTCTAGGTCCAACTCCTGGAGCCTCCTACTGCTCGCAGGGCCTGGGTGGCTGCCATAAGCAGAATCGCCTAGTCCATCTTGTGACTGCGCCCAATACATATCAGATTGGTATTTTTTACTTGCAAGGCTCTGGTTATTTTGCTTTAACTCAGTCTTATTTTTAACCATGTTATCAGATATCCAGTGTTCACTGGCTTGCAAATCCATCTCATTGGGCTGTTGCTGAAAGAGGCTTTTATCTCCAAACTTGAGGAGGAGCTGCGTCATATAATCTTCATGTTCCGCCCATTCTTCAGGGTCTTCTGAGGTTTCGTGCTCTACCCTACCTTTCCAGAAGTCTTCATTGACAAATCCTGCTTCTTGCCTGGAGAGACTCAGATCATCCAACTTCCGAGAAAGGGTGTCGTCAGCATTGTCTGAAAGGCCAGGGAACTTGTAGTTCAGGGCCGGGGACAAGAGCAGAGACTGTCGGCACTGATCTGCTGAGCGACTGCTCTTGCCCATGCGGACACTTCGTCTGGAGTCTCTCGACCGCGCTGACTGAAACGCAGAGTCGGAAGAATCAGAAGCATGGACGTCTTCACCGAGGCTGCATGTTTTTGAGCAATAAATCTGACCTTGCTTGGGAAGGAAGGGACATCCCAACAAAGAGGCCTTACACTGGGCACAAGAAAAGCACTCCTCAGTGGCATGCCAATGCTGCCCGTTGTAGGTCATCTGTGCATGGTCGACACCTGTTTTGAAAACGGACAGAATAATAGGTTATAGTTTAATGCTTGAAATGAGAGAAGGAAGGAGTGGAGAGAGGAAATATAGACTGTGGGGGGCCTCAGGTGAAGGAAATGTTCTGTCTCTTGACTGGGGTGGTGCGATCCCGGTACAGATAACTCGTAGTATCCATGGATTCTGTATTTGTGAATTTGCCTACTCCCCACAATTTATTTGCAACCCCTAAACTGATGCTTGCAATAGTTTCATGTTCATGCATCGATGTGAGGAGTGGTGAAAGTGTCTATCAATTCATATACGTCCACAAAGCACCGTTCTGCCTTCTGGTCGAACTCTCAGTGCTGCTGGCCATGAGTCTGATGTTGGGAAATCAATGTGTATTAAATAAGGTGGCTTGAAACCGAACCACACATGAAACAAGGTTATGTAGCAATAAGGCGATGAAAACGTTCTGACCTGAGGCTCCCAGGATCCTACCTGTATTTCTGTAGGAGCAATGATTTAGAAATCACTAATTCATTGCTCCCTACAACTTTACAGAACATAATTGCTGTGAATGATGGGACCTGACTACATATGCATTTGTCAAAAGTCATCACAAAGAAACATTTAAGAGCTAGACATGTCACTCTGTAAGTTTTTCTTCATTAATTAGTCAGAGGGCATGAGTCCTCACCAGAGAGAAAGAAAGAGAGAGGGAGAGGAAGAAAATACCCCCTGTGGGGAATGGTCATGCCACAATCCCTTCTCCATTTTTCTCTCCTTTCAGAATTTCAGGCACACACACACATGTACCCAGCATGTTTTTCAAGCTACCAGGTCCAAGACTTGAACCATGGTTGGTCATATGGAATTCAGTTCCCTTAACCATTGGGCCACCAGCTAGTCCTTGCTGTATGCAAATTATACCTTAATTTGAAAAAACAAAGAAGGTCAGCTCCATAGCACAGCAGTTAAGCCTTAGGCTTTGGGAGCTGAACTCCATATGGCAGGTTGTGGTCTGAATCCTAGCCCCAGTGTGGGAATACATAAGTGCCCCGAGTCCTGGTGGGATGGAGAAATGGAGGAGAAAGGATGGCACTGTAACCACACCCCAATGGCGAGTACTCTTTCTCTCTCTGGTAAGTACACATGCCCTTCAGCAGTCACAATTTTTTTTTTTTTTTGGAGAGGTTTTTGCTATAGGGCGCATGTGCTCGCCAGACAGACAGAGACAGAGAGACAGAAAGCAAGAAATCACCCCCCCGGGGGGATGGCCACGCCGCAATCCCTTCTCTGTTCTCTTCTTGGGATCTTGGGCACACACGCACACGTGCCCAGCGTGAGTTTTAAGCCACCGGGTCCGGGACGTGAACCACGGTCGACCACATGGGAGTCCAGCGACATAGCCATTACGCTAACTGCTGGTCCCAATCACAAATCTTTTAAGAGGAAAACAATGCCTGCAGATAGTCAAGGGAGGTGATGGCTGTGAGCCAGGGCCAACAGGCGGGGCTGTGGACGTACCAATGTGCTCCCCACAGGTTTCACAATACTCTGCATAGAGAGACTCAAAACAGCCGCAGCAGAACGGGCGGTCCTCCTTCATGATGTACCTCTGTCCTCCCAGGACCACTTCACACTCAAGGCAGCAGAAGTGCTTCATGTGCCAATGGCGACCCTCAGCTTCTGTGCACTCATCAGCAAAAATTATCTTTACAGAAAGAAACACGGAAACACAGGAACAAAGAAAACCATTAAGAACTATTTTAAATGCAAGTGACTGCATGTTTTCTGGATGACTGACAGATATGGGCCCTTAAAAAAATCTGAAATCTACCTTTGTCCTGTATAGCCACAACTGACATCTAACTTAATTCAGCCACAAAACAAGAGCATATGTTGCCGATGTCAAAAAGAGAAACTAAACAAATGCTGGCTTAACCTGTGAAAACAAACAAACAAATTTCTGTATCGGAGGTCATTCATTTGGTCCTATGTAGGCTCCCAAGAACACTTTGTTGGCATAATATGGCCTTTGTTTATTGGATTCATGTTATTCCATGGTACAAGTGATTAAGGTTATCGTACAGGACAAAACACACCAATAAAACAGTGTAGTGGCCTGTGTGTGCTTTAGGAGAAAGAATGCACGCAGAAGTGCTCTGGGGCCCCCATAACCATCACAATAGCTGTAATAGTGCGCCCAAAGGACCAGCAGGTGACATGATGGTTAAGGCACTAGATACTCCCACATGAGCGACCGTGGTTCAAGTTCCAGACCTGTTGGCTTGCTTTCTCACTTTCTTTCTTGGGGTGTGTGTGTGTGTGTGCGTGTGTGAGTGTGTGTGTGCGTGTGTGTGTGTGTGTGTCTGGTCAAATTAAAATAAATGATGAATAAATAAAATTAAATGAAGTAATAAAAAAAAATAATGCGCCCAGCACTGTGCAGACCATGCTTCGTCTGACCTGGTGGCTATCTCCAGATTTAAGACTTTTAATTTTTTAATAGTTTTTGGTTTCAAAAAAAATTCAAATTACCTATCATTGAAAACACATATAAATAAATATATAAAAGTAAACACTGAAAGTTTACTGTTTGACTGAAGGAGATTATGGAAATATAATGAGTAAATGCCATGAGTTACCCTGGATTGGCTCTTAGAAGAACAAAGGGATAGAAGAAGAACTGAAAAATCTAGAAAAAAGTATATATATTACACCGATGTGTCTTTTCTTTTCTTTCTTTTTTTTTTTTTTTTAAAGATAGGGTTTCATAATGTTGCCCAGGCCAGCCGTAAACTCATGATCCTCCTGCGTCAACCTCTGCAAATTGCTGAGGTTACAGGTGCAGACCAGTGCACACTGTCTTAGTAGTGTAGACCACCACAGCTGGGTGATCGACACTCACGTGTTAAGTTCTGACACACATGCCATAGTTATGTAAGACGCTGGCAACAGAGGAAGATGGGAGAAGGTATACAGGAACTCTGTGATGTCTCGGCAACTCTATATAGATCTAAAATTACTTTGGAATAAAGAGCTTAAGGAAATAAAAACTCCCTTCGCACCACCACCCCTTATCACGTGCCCCAGAGATAACCACTATGAACTTAGAGTATTATGTCTTTCCATACCTCTTCTAAGTAGATGCAAGTATATATACCACACTGTGTTTTCCTCTTTGAGTTATCAAAAATAAAATCTGCTGCTACATACTATTTCTTCCGCAATTTCTTTCTTATCAAGGAGGGCCTACTTGTCAAAGCACAAAGACACCTGCTGTCCTCTCTTTATTCTCTACGTGTTATTCCACTGTACGAGTATGCAGGGTTATCTTACAGAACAAAACCCAAGAGGCAGTTCTATTTGGCTTAGATGCCAACAGTGGAATATTGGCTTACTAGGAGCTTATTTTTTTCCAGTAGCAATGATGGATTTTTTTTTTTTACCTCATCACATGCCGAGCACCGTGGCTTGAGCAGTTCCGCGTGGTGCCGGCCACAGTGAATTTTTCCATCCTGATAAAAATAGATGAGGTCGACCAGCAGCTCGTTGCACGTGAAGCAGACAAAACAGGCTGGGTGCCAGCACACTCCTGGGCCCGCGCGGGAGGCAAACACAGCCACCTCACCTCCGTTTATCTTCACCCCACACTGCAAACAAGAGAATTTGAGTTAAAATAAGCCTCTTTCAGTGACTGGATCCTCAGCTTTTCCTACTTTATGGTAAATCCCGTTTACTTGGAAAGCTTTCTTTTGGTCTCTCCGTTAGTGATTAAGCAGCTCTCTAATACTGGATTACTTGTGATTCTCACTGTAATGAGCACGCCTCAAATACGCTACGACACCAGCCGGTGTCTAAGTAGGGCTTAATCTAATTCGCATTAACAGTGGTTTTCCTGAGCCAGCCTCCTACTGGATGCGTTTCCAACTCTGAAAATTGCCAATGAAGATGTGAATGTCTTCATTATGTCTCTGCACTTCTGAACCCTCGGTGTATCCTCTCACCTCCATCCATGCCAGGATCCTGCAAAGGCAGGACTTCATCTGATGTTTAAATAAGGACAGATCAACTCCTACTGTCCTACAGAGCAGTGTGGCTGGTTACAAATACGAATCACTATTAGTAAAAAGTTACAGTGTCTTCTTACTTTTTGGAGGTTTTTAGGGCCTATACCTGTGCTGGCCCTGTCACCAACCTCCCAGCTCACAATATCCACATTGTTAACACAGCTACTCTTCCTGAGATATTCTAGCAATACTAGAACACTCAAGAAAGGGCTACCTGCTCACACACGGCGTGCATTACTGCTCTGGACAAGAGTTTAATCGTTCCTCTTCCCAGTGCTTCCTTCTTCCGCTGAGCACTGAAAACCTGCAATTCCTTTTTCTCCTCTTCACTCAAAGACTGGCAATACCGCACCTTCACAGGAAGGAAAACAGAAGAACCACGCTAGGGTGCAGTCCTCCTCACCCATTCTTTATTTCCAGAGCTTAGAGTTTCAGGAAATGAAACAGCAAGTTTAGCTTGGCCAGCCTCATGGGTCCCCAATTTTAAAATGACACTATACCTACATCTTGCAGCCTCTCTGGAAAAAGGAAAATTTAAAAAAAAATGCAGTGGACTTGTACATGAACATGACAGAGAGAGGGGGAAAAAAAACCAGCAGGGCATGGCCATGCTACAATTCCTTTCCCTCTAACTCACTATTTCAGTAGGATCCTGGGTACTTGTGCATGTGCTGGTCATGTTTTTCAAGCTGCCAGAGCTGGGACTCGAACCTTGGTTGGTCATGTAGAATGGCTTCCTCTGTGTAGCACTGAATTGCCACCCTATAGGGCTAGCTCTTGAAATACAATTTGAAGGCATAGACTTGCTTTCTTTTTTATTTTTTTTAAGCGTGAGATGTTTCATTTAAATCCTTATCGGCAGACATTAAAAAAAGAAAGTAAGACATTAACCTTTCTACAAAAGGGCTCTGAGTTGTTAAGGGCCCCTTGCTCCCTACATTCTACAGGCACTTAACCAGGCCTCAGGCCTGAATGACCACAAAGCAGCACTCTGGATGCAGGGGCTGGGAAATCTCAGGAATCTGGAGGCTCCAGATAATTGGTGGGTGGTTGCAAACACTGTAAAAACCAACTTGTGTTAAGTTTATTACACTGACACCCTTTTCTTTCTTCTCCTTAAGAATGGAAAGCTGTGTTCTCCGCCACATTTTAACTGAAGAAAGGCCTGGCCAGTAAGAGCTGGGGTTTATGAGAGGCATCTAATGCTTATTGCGTATTTTTTCCCCTTTTTTCTAATTAGCCTTCTTCCTGTTATTTTACCTCATTATCATGTGGTGGCAACTGGTACAAAAGCTGTTTAATCCGATGTTTCTCTCCAGGGCTATTAACATAAGGAACCTTTTCCTCTGGTAAACAAGCAAAATAGAGCTGGATCTGTGTGAGAGAGACAGCGTGACATCAGCATACAGAAACGAACATCTTCACTTACTCAATCTTTAAACCTACCTTTCCCTGGGTACAGGTTTGGCCTCTGATAGCACTTGGCTTCGTGAAGCTAATGAGAAGACCAGCTGAGCCAACTCAGCAGAACTGCAAACCTTCAGATAACTAGCACCCAGCTGCTAAATTGCTCTTTGGGAATGTAATTTGTAGTGACAATTAGGGGGATCATAAATTATGCACCGTAAAATATGCACGTTTAATGCTACTATTCCTCAGCCAGTCTTCCCAGGGTCAGCTAAAGAGATCAGCTCAGTGCTGGGGCATTCTGCGACTGACCACACAGGCTGTGCCACTGTCCAAAATCCAGCCCCGACACACACACATGTAACCTGCTCTCTGGATTTTACATATCACAAAGACAAATGCTGTTTTGTTAAACTCTGTAAACTCTCCCTTATCAGATCCTCTCCAGCATTGGTTTTCTTCGCTTCCCTGGGTACATTTTCTGAATATCTGAAGTCAGTTCCCCCAGGAAACTGGAGAGGAGCCATAATGAGCTATACTTCATTCACTCTGAAAGGAGAGTTTTTTGGTTTGCTTTTCTGTTGTGCTCAAGGAGACATCCTCAATGAGTCCGCAAAGGACACTGCAGTGCTGAGAAAGAATCAACACAATTCAAGAAGAGAGATTGTAGTTATCTGCTTCAGTTTCTTCCTGCCTGCCTGCCTGTACCTTCCTTCCTTCTTTTTTCTTCCCCCCTTTATTCATGATAAAGAATGTGAGTGAGACAGTGAAAAAGTGAGAGGCAGAGAGAGAAAATCACCCTCCGGGGCTTTGGCCCCGCTGTGGTCTCCATCCTCCAGTCCTTCAGCCTGTCAGTCTTAGGCGCTTACACACGTGCCTGGTGTGTTTCAGCTGACAGGGCCGAGGGTTCAAACCACAACTGCCATGTGGCATCCAGATTCTCTTAAGCAGTGTGCTGCCACTGTACCACGAAGCCGGCCTTGCTTCAGTATCTTAATATGGATTGAATATCCCTTATTCAAAGTGCTTAGAATCAGCAGCGTTTGGATTTTTTCTTAATTTTGGAATATTTGCATATTCAAAGTGAGAGATCTTAGGGATGAAACCCAAGTCTAAACACAAGATGCCTTTATGTTTTATATACACCTTATACGCACATAGCCTAAGGGTAATTTTATACAGTATTTGTGACCATATGCTACTTGTCATATGAGATCAGGGGTGGCATTATGTCAGCACTCCAAGAGTTTTAGATTTTGGAGTATTTTGGATTTCTGGATTAGGGATGCTCAACCTGTACCATAGAAAAACTACCCACTCTAACATGTGACAAGGAATTTTCTTTAATAAGTAATTTTTCAAAATATTCCTTTTTTGACTGTTAACCCAACTCTACATTCTTCCTACTGTATTACTTCTAGAAGCTTCTGACAGTTATAAGCACTTACTGAATACTGAATACATGTGCTAGATTCTGTGCTAGGCCCTGGACGAATAAGGACACCTTATTATCAAATAAATTCCCATCCTACAAGACACAGAACCACAGCCCAGAAACAACTGCCTACCCATCTGTCACCTCTTCTTTCAGATGAGGTCTATGGTTTTATGATATTTATTGCCAGTAAGTCTCAATGAGTTCATCATTATAAGGATACTGGAAAAACAGAAGTGGGCCTATAAAATAGTCTCATATTCTTTAATACCAAAAAGCGGTAAGTTAATTCTTTTCATTTTTTTCCGATCTCCACTTATAAGACAGATTCTTTATATGCAAAGTGACCAGAGGTCAAATTTGTAAGCAATGATACTTCAGATGGTTCCTTACAGCTCTGCATCTCTCCTTCAAAGCAAAAGGATTGCTGAGAACTGGTATGGAAGCTTTCCTTTTTCTTTTTATTACCTTTTTGTTGTCACAGGTTTTAAAGTAAATTCCTTTCACTCCATTAAGAGAGAGACACCAGGAATTCACAAAACAAATGCATTTTTCAGTACTCTGGATTTCAGTCATGACAGCCAAAAGAGCCTCACCAGAGCTTCTGGGTCCATGAGTATAAAGAGACAGAAAACTTGCCCTGAGAAACTAAATACGAGAGGACTTGAAAATGTTCGTGGGAAAACAATATTAAAGCACAAATTTGTTTCTGGTGCAAAATAATTCATGAAATTTGTATATAGCCTTTTCATAATATGCGTGTTCCATGAACTTTTTGAAGACCACCCCCCCCCAACACACACACTAAAAAACCCTCAGTGAAGCTCTCCACATGTAACAGCCGTATTCTCAAGTCTGACATCACTGAAAACCAAACAGAAAGCACAGGAGCTTAAGTTCCCACCTGCTCGGGTCTGAGGCCCGGGGGCACCCAGGCGTACTCCTCCAGTGCACAGCCGGAGTCATCATCTGATGTGGAACTTCTCTGACACCCGAAGGCGAGTTTGCTCATTTTGGGCTCCATCTCCAAAGGCATAATACGGTGAAAAATCTGGTTTTCTCAGTCACAGGACATCAAACAATGGCTGCTGTAGAGCAAGTGAAAAAGAGGGAAAGAAATGAAAAACCTGACTGCATGATCCTTACCTTCACAGAGCTTGACTGAATGCGTGTTTACACACAGCAGGGTCCAGAGACAGTAACCAAATTACTAGTGGCACCACCCCTAACTCGCAGGCTATACAATTTGGAAGCAGACCCCTTGTCAGCTCAGGATTGTAGAAAATGCCACTACACAGGGTTCATTAGAAGAGTTCTTGGGACCAGCAGATGGGCCAACAGTTCTGTTGCTGGACTCCCACGATATCGACTGCGGTTTGAGTCTCGGAATCAGCAGCTTAAAACTCCATGTCGAAAGGGACCAGCAGTTAGTGTAATGGCTATGTCGCTGGACTTCCACGTAGTAGACCACAGTTCGCATCCTAGGCCCGGTGGCTTAAAACTCATGCCGGGCGCGTGTGCGTGCGTGCCCAAGATCCCGAGAAGAGAATGAAGGAGAAGGGATTGCGGCGTGGCCATCCTCCCTGGGGGGGTGATTTCTCACTTTCTATCTCTCTCTGTCTCTCTGTCTGGCGACCGCATGCGCCCTATAGCAAAAACCTCTCAAAAAACAAAAATAAATAAACCTCAATGTCGAGAGCGGATGCGTGTGCATACATGCCCAAGATCCCAAGAGGAGAAAAGAGGAGAAGGGACTGTGGCATGGCTATTCTCCCTGGGGGGTGATTTCTCACTTTCAGTCTCTCTATCTTGCTCTGTCTCTCTGGCAAATGCATGCGCCCTACAGCCCTCTCTAAAAAAAAAAAAAGAAAGAAGAAAAGTTCTCAAGAAAATGTTTTTGACTTTCTGACTTGCTCACAAATACAACTTTCCTGAAGTCCTATTCACTGTAGAAGGAAGCATTAGGGATCAAGTCACCTGCCTTCCCTACGACTGTAGGCCCTGAAAAATGGTCCCAGAGACACCCCTCCAACCCTGCTCCCCATCTTTCCTAAGTGATTTTTTCATCTGAGGCAGTGCTGACCAGTGGGTCCACTTGGCCAAACTGCTTAGGCTGCAGATTTCTTTTATTTTTTTTTAAGAGAGATTTTTACTATAAGGCGTGTGCACTTGCCAGAGAGACAGAGAGATGGAAATCAAGAAATAACCCCCCAAGGTGGATGGCCATGCCTCAATCCCTTCCTCTCTACTCTTCTCTCAGGATCTTGGGGCACACACACACACATGCCCAGCATAAGTTTAAAATTGCTGGGTCCAGGACTCAAACCGCCATTAGCCAGGTGGGAGTCCAGTGACGTAACGGTTACACCATCTGCTGGTCCTAGGCTGCAGATTTCTAATAGTGTTAAGACACAAAACTTAGTTTGCACACTGACTAGAAACAGCGTAGTTATACAGAGCACATTAAATCCTCAAACCTTTACAAAGGCCTAAAGTCAGTCAGATGTTTATCAGTTCCTTCAACAAAGGTAACTGAACACAGAACTGGGTTAAAATGAATCCAGCCTAGTGACAATGCGTAATTGCCACATTCATTGACAAGTTACTCAGTACCTACTATGTGTGAAATGCCATCGGCTAGCTGTGGGGCCAAGTAAGGTGTAAATCCTCTGCTGAATGAGAAGGCTCCTCAGTGCAGGACTAAAGTGTCAAGACGAGACACTTGTTCCTGCCCTACAACCTTTAATCATGTTCCTTGTGTCATCTGATTGTTAAAAAATCTTCCCTCATCCCAACATACTAAGAAGATAAAGATAACTTTCAGAACCACATAGAGTTTTTAAAAAAATTGTATCTCTTCTATCAGACAAAGAGAGGAAGAGACAGATACTCCACACAGTGACCCACCCCAGTCTCAGGTAGCCTGATCACAAACACACGTACACATGAAGTGCTCAGGGCGATCCGGGGACACAAACCTGCCTCTGCCACGTAAGCCAAGCTGTGTCACTGCTGCATCACCACCTGTCCCCCAGACGGAGCTTTTTATACTTATCCCTTTCTCCAACGGAATCATACAAAGAAAGGAAAGTGTGAATAATTAGCCTGACCCAATTATTTTAGAGAAAACAAGGCTCAGGGAGGTTAAGTGACTTGTGCAAGGTCACACAGCTAACAGTCAGAGTCCAGTCACAGACTGACAGGTTAGAGTACAAAATGTCTGCCTTAATAAATGTTTTTATTTACTTAAGCGTGTGAGAAAGGCAGTGAAGACCTAAACCCTTTCAGCGGAAGCGAAGTCGTGTCTCAGCAACTCTCACAATACAACTCCAGGTACTCCCAGTGTTAGAAACTGTTATGACTGGGCCAGCAGGTGGCATGGCGGCTAAGGCAGCTGGATCCCACGTGGTCAACTGTGCAGTTACGAGTCTCGGACTAGTCGGCTTGAAAATCGTGCCACGACTTGTGGATGCCGTGTCCAAAACCCCAAGAGAAGGGATTGCTGTGTGGCCTTCCCTCTGGGGGGATGATTTCTTACTTTTCCCCTCTCCCTCTCCCTGGTGAGTGCCTGTGCCCTTACAACAACAAAATTATTGGGCCAGCCAGTATCATGCTGGTTAAGGTGGCTGGATCTCATATGGCCAACTAAGCAAGTTCGAGTCCCAGACCCAGTGGCTTGAAAAACACGCTGGGAGTGTGTGCATGCTGGGTATGTGTGCATGGGTGCCCAAAATCTTAAGAGGAGATGTGGAGAAGGGACTGTGGAGTGAGTATCCCTCTTTGTAGGTGCTTTCTCACTGTCTCTCCCTCTTCCTGTCTCTGTCTCTCTCCAGCAAGTGCACATACCCTACAGCAAAAGAAAGAAAACGCCAAACCTATGATTATTAAAATGCATGGTTTTTCTTTTATAAATCAAGGACCTTAAAATTTTCAAGTTTTAATAGTTCACAAATAGAAGGCCAAGTTTTGCGTGATGCAATCTTACTAGCACAGGAGCGATGCCACAGTAGCTACTACCCCCACTAATAAATTTAACGTTTATTCACCCTGAACAAAAAGTAAAGACGGCCTCATTTCCTACACCACTATTGGGAGGTTATGACCTTTTAAACAAGTCATCATTTCACACAGGTGCAATTCATTCCTGTCTGGACTTAGGACAGGCTTTCTAAACATGGGCACATTCCTCTTACTCCTCGGTAAAAAAGGATGTGCTAATGAGAGTCAGGAACTTTCTTGGATCTAGTGTCTCCCTTTTGTTTTGAAAAAATAACTCCTACACGTCAAAGGAAGAGAATCAGAAGTTAAGACTCTCATTAGTAACTCAAAAACCCCTTAAATTGAGGTGTCTTCCATGCGATTTAACCTGAAACATGAAACAGAAACATGCGTTTCTTGAAGAGGAATATACTACAGTATCTGCTCTGCATAAATATTAAGTAGAATCTAAAAATAATGTCACCATAATACAAAACAAGAGAAAACAGCACAAATGAAGACAAACTATGGATTTTCCAAGCTAGCACAAAGATACAGATTGGCAAAGATCTGAATTACATTAACAGCCCTAGGCCTTGATTAGCCTTTTGTGAGAAAGGTACTGTAAATTACTATCCTAATCAAGGTGAATCAACGGCAGTACTAAATGCCACCATCCCCGCCTCCCAATCACCCGGACGAGGTGGCCATGTCTCACACCCAGTCCTACACATTCATTCCAGCCTCCCAGCCAACCACACTGAGACTGTCATTTGCTGACAGTGTAAAGAGTACAACTGAAGAAACAGGAGAGACAAAATCTTTTCCATCACAGACGTGGTTTCCGTTTAATTTTTAGCACTCTGACAACAAATGGACTCCTTTGGCCTAGCCTGGTGCTGTGAGGGCATTTATCCACCATATCAAGTAACCCAGTGTAAGTGGTATCTCACTAACAGATAAGGAAACTGAGCCTCAGAGCGATTTGCCTCAGGGTCCGTTGTCCCAGGTCAAAAAGTTATCAAGCAGTGGCCTTAGGTCTGTCTGTGATCACAAACCCCTGATGCTGGCTCTCAGAGTGGAAGCAAAAGGAGCTAATTCCCTGTTCTTTGGTGAACTAGACACAATACTATGTTGCAGACACACAAAATGACATAACTGGGCAGTAGACAGTCCACTTAATCCACAGAGGGGTGTATGTGTGTGTGTGTGTGTGTGTGTGTGTGTGTGTGTCCACACATGCAAGGGTGAGTGAGAGAAAACACCCCTCAAAGAGACCTGGTCATGCTGGCATCCTTTTAATCCTCCAATTCTCCATCTGGTCAGAATATCGGGCACCTGTGCACACACCCTGTGTGTTTTTCAAGCTGAGACAGGGACTCGAACCCTGGTCAGCATATGGGATCCAGCTCCCACTCTGTGCAGTGCCTAACTACTGGGCTATAGGGCCACACTCCCCAAGGAGAGTGTGTATTTTTTTACATGCTTTTACCTAACCATGGTTAAATTAAACATATCCTTTAAAAAAATGTTAATTTAAAAACAACAAAGAACTATATACAAAGCATGTTAGATGCTAGAGATAAATAGAATAAAAAGCCAAATTAGCTCAAACCATCAGGATTCTGTGATTATTCTAACGTAGGTTTACTGTCTTAGTCTTGAAATGTTACAATAAACTGAATAAACGTAGCCATGAACGAGTAGCAATTATGCATTAACCAGTCCTGTGTCCTGTGCGACCTTTGGAAATGAATCAGC